TGTTTTTAAAATTTTGAAAAATAAATTACTAAAAGCTGATTTAGAATGCTGAATTGAGATTGATATATCTTTAAAGGAAAAAATTGATAACTACCTTATGTATTCTATTATTTATGTTATACTATATTGACATCCAACATTTATTTTTTATTAAAATTCACAAAAAATTTTGAAATTGCTATATCTCAAATAAAGAATTCTGACAAAAATATGTTGTATTTGCAAATTTAGTATTGTTAAGAATTATCAAAGTATTGTTATCAAATCTGATTTGGGATTTAGTAATCAAGAATTTCAGTTTGAAATTTATAGCCTTTTGGTGAGATCTTTGCCTGTATATTGCTTCTCTTGTTTTTATGAACTAATTTATACTATTTCTATCTGTTTTGCAACTCCCATAAATGGAATATCTGTGTTCATAGCAACTAATCATGAATATGTTAAGATAAATGATACTCAACAATGACTGATTTTTTTGTCTAACAAAAAACTCTTCCAACATATAAAAGAGGTGATTGTTGTTGTGTGTTTATTTGAATTTTTGGATTTACTATATTGCTATCAATAAAATTCTTACCTGATTGCAGAAACGTCCTGAGTAGAAGATTGATGTCATTATCCCCAAAATCAAGTAGCACCTTCTAACGTTGTTTTGTTGTCATATTCCCTAATTTCCTTTTATAATTTTTTTCATATGTATTTCAGATTTAGATAAATGGTATATCTAAAATGTGGTAGTAGTGTCTACTCACCTAGTCTCCTCCGTGTACAATTTTTTTCTTTTCTTTTTTTTTTTCCTTACATATGATGTACTATGATATATTTCCTTTTGGGTTATGGGTTAAGGGAGTGTTTGAATAGAAATGAAATCTTAATTTTAAAAGTGATTTTACAATATACGAAATAAATATTTGGAGGAGTTTGTCTCGATTTGTAAAAAAATGCTTTTGAGAAGCACTTTTATAGCTTCCCAAACACCCCATAAATCGATGAAAATATATCAAAAATTCATCAAACATCGTAAACTTTTTTGGGTTCAAATTTACCAATTTAAATTTAAAAAGAGCTCAAGTATGCCAGTGCCATTAAACTTAACTTGCCTCCTTTTTTTTTTTTTTTGGTTGTGGAACCCATGATTTTTTTAATAAAAGTATCAAAATACCCCCAATTAAAATAAAAAGTTAAGAATAAAGAATACTTATGAACTTATATATCAAAAGTTCATCAAACACCATATAATTTTAATGAAAGTATCCAAATAACCTGAATCTAGAAGGGCTATTGTATTAGAGTGTGTTAGATATTATTAATCATAATAAATTTTTATAATTAAAATAACTTGTGTAAAAAAAGTTTAACTTCAACAATAAGTTATTTATATCCCCAATCTTTTTTTAAGTAGATATTATAAGTATCTTTTGAAAATAAGTTGTTTGTATCATCGGCATATAGAGTTGTGTGTTTATCTTCCCATTTATATTATCAAATCTAATAGTTTACTTAATTTTTTTCACGTCACTTTTGATAGTGGGACCCACGCTATTTTTAGTGAAAATAATAAAATACCCCCAGTTAATTTAAAAAAAAGAAAAGAAAAGAAACTAACATCTCCCTCTAAACTGTCAATGGTTTGTTCAGTTCATTTGTCTTTCAAGAAAAAAGTCTATCCTCTTATAAAATGGATTAGATTCTTGGGAAAATGACAGATAAAGAAGGCTGAAATAATAAAATGCCAGAATGGGAAGCTAAGCAAATGTAACACCAGATAGGGAAGTGTTGCTTGATTTGGGATTATGCAAATGTTGCACAATTACGAAACAACCCCTGTCAGTCAGCGTTTGAAAGTGGAGAGAGAGAAGGCGCGCGCGAACACTCGTGCACTGACCGTCGTGCTTCCTGGTTTCTCGCTTCCACCATCCCCATTGTTGCCCTAAAAACGCCGGCAAGCTGGACAGTTGAGGACCCCGAAATAGTGTGTGCGTAAGAGAGCAGAGGAGTTGGAAGTGGAAGGGCGTGCTGTTCGAAGGGCGAACGTGGTCGCGTCTGACTGATTGTGTGGAAAGACGAAGGTTGGCGCACGGTGATTCACCATTGCAGTTAACAAGCATCAACAGCATTTCAGTGAGGTAAGTTCAGGCATTTAAGTTTCGTGCTGTGGTCGACGTTTCTAGGTGAGTCTGGGAAGTAATGATCGGGCAATATTTAGATATGACGCGATGAAGTTTGTGAATGACAGGAATGGCGATTAAGGGTTTATGCTGAGTCGCTGTGGCAAGCTATTCTGTTTTAAATAACGTAGTTGATAACTGGAAAAATGGGTTTTGAAATCAGTAGGAAAATTGTCTGATTGACTGGAAAAATTATATGAACAACTGGAAATGACAATAACATACTGGTAAATGACTATGATCGAACCTAAAATGACCATATTCATAGTAATGACCTTACTGTCTGAATGAGTGGAAAGATTATATGAATAAACTGGAAATGACAATACCAAACTGGTAAATGACTATGAAGGAACTTGAAATGACCATATTCATACTAATGACCTTACTGTCAGACTGTAATGGCCATGTTGGTAATGACAATGAATTAAGTGGAAATGACCATATTCATAGTAATGACCTAACTGTTAGTCTGTAATGGGCATATTGGTAATGACAATAAGTTAACTGGAAACGACCATATTCATACCAGCATCCTTACTGTCACTCTGTAATGGCCATATTGTAAATGACAATGAATTAATTGGAAATGACCATATTCATAGTACTGACCTAACTGTTAGTCTGTAATGGGCATATTGGTAATGACAATAAATTAACTGGAAACGACCATATTCATACCGGCATCCTTACTGTCACTCTGTAATGGCCATATTATAAATGACAATGAATTAATTGGAAATGACCATATTCATAGTACTGACCTAACTGTTAGTCTGTAATGGGCATATTGGTAATGACAATAAATTAACTGGAAACGACCATATTCATACCAGCATCCTTACTGTCACTCTGTAATGGCCATATTGTAAATGACAATGAATTAATTGGAAATGACCATAACGAATCTGGAAAGAACTAGATGTGTAGTATATGTATTAAAATTATGATTTAATGATGGTACCTTGATGACTTTACAGAACTATACGAGATGGTGTTGGAAGAAGGGGAAGGGTCCACAAGCAAAGGAGTCCACAGTGGGCTTGTGTTGTTCAGAAGGGAGTATATGGCAAAACGAGGTGAGAAGTGTAAAAACGCAAGAGAAGAAAAAATTGAAGTGGGGAAGGCATGGAGGGCCCTGAGTGAAGAAGAGAAAGATAGGTATAATGAGAGGGCAAGGAAAACGAAGCCACAGAAAGGTGAGAAGAAGAAGTATGATGTTCCCTTGTACGCCCGGTGCTCATTGCCCGGATTTCTATCATTGGCTGAATATGTGAAGAAGAACAGGCGGTTGAGGCAGAAAGTTCAGAGGATGGGATTTGGGAACTTGCTTAATGTGAATGTGAAGCAACTTCCACGTGATCTACTTGTGTCATTGTTGAGATGCTATGACCCACCAACGCATTTTTTGACCATTAGAGGGCAAGGGCAGGCAATTGAGGCAAAAGATGCGCATGAGTTTCTAGGTGTACCTGACAGTGGGGAGGAAGTGAAATCTGATGTTAGTGAGGATGACCCGGAATACAAGAGGTTGAAGGACACTTATTGGAAGGTTCCATTTACCCAGATACTGAAGAGGATATTATCTGGGGAAGAAAGCGACAATTTTGAGTTCCTATTTATGCTTTATACAGTTGGAGCTTTTCTATGTCCTGGGTCAAGCACAACTGTACATATACGTTTGTTGAAAGTGATGCGTCACACGATGAATGGGTTTGGGAAATATGATTGGTCAACGTACATAATCAAGAACCTGTGGAAGGAAATGGGAGACTTTGTGAAGATGACAAAGAAGAAGAAGAAAGGAACCTGCAATGTTGGAGGGTGTCTTTATTTGCTGCTGGTAAGTCAATATTTTTCTTATGGTTCACTATATTTTTGTCTTTTGTTATTGTTGCAGAAGTGTGACCTATCTTTATTTGGTTTTGCAGCTGTATTTTGTTGAGCGTTTCCCGCTGGGATTGTCTGTTGACCGGGGTTCAACAAGCGCCATTGAATATTGGACCGAGGAGAAGATAAAGGAGAGGGTGGAGAAAGAGAGAGGCAGCAGCATGGGAATATTGCATGGAAGCAGTGGCAGCGAGGTATACTCAGCAGGACATGAGGACAGTCCAATTTTGCAGTCTTTAGATCCGGTATGTGGGAACTTAGAAAATATACGTGACCTGAGTTTAAGTCAGTCTATTAGCAAGGTTGATACTTGAGATGACAAGACTTTATTTAGAAATGACCAGTGAGATACTGGCATTTGATAACAGTGAACAATTTTTTTGATATCTTCATTTACTGTGTATGCAGGCATTGAAGGAGTTGAGGGCTCGTTTTGTGAAGAAGCTTGAAGAAAGCCAGAGGACGTTAATGAAGGCTCTTGATGATGAGCTACTCAAACTGCAGATTGGATTGAACGCCAAAGTTAAGGGGATGGGGAATGAGAATGCCACTGCTAAAGAAGGGGTTGAAACAGTTGGTGATGCAGCTGGTAACGATGCTGAAGAAGCTGATGATGTTGACCGAGTGGTGGAGGAGATTGCAAGAGAGGTTGCAGCGGGAAGTGCAGATGAGGAACTTGATGAGGATGAAACCAGCAAAGGAGATGATGAGAAGGATGAGGATGAGGATGAGGATGAAGAACAACATGACCTTCATGACAGGGAAGTCAGTGATGATTACATGGTTGAGGAGGTGGAAGAAGAGGGTGACCGTGATGGTCATGGAGGTGATGATGACGACGATGAGGATGAGGAGGAAGATGACCATGATGACAGGGAAGGAGGTCATGTGGTTGATGAGGAGGAAGATGACCATGATGACATGGAAGTCAGTCATGATTATGTGGTTGAGGAGGCCGAAGATGATGATAAGGAGGTTCGGGATTCAGATGATGAGGGTGAGGAAGCTACACATGTACTGACAATGACCCCTACCAATGTTCCTTTGCTGTTGGATCGAGAATGGGTGAGCAGTGACAGTGGGGAGGAAGGAGGGCCTGAAAAATCGATTGACCTTAGGAGGTCAACAAGGGCAAAGAGTTCCACAATTAAATCTCCGTGGATAGAATTCAAGGCAGCTCCGAGGACGAAGAGGCCAAAGGAGGAAAGGGACATCTTTTTCACTTTAATATCCCGTAGACCCAAGGGAGAGGAAGAGGGGAATATGTAAGTATATCCGTAGCTAGTGTTTTGTTTTTAAATGACACAGTGTGCCCTGACAATGACAGCAATAGGATTGAAAATGACAATAACATACATGGGAATGACAGGTATTGATGTCCCCAACACCATACTTTCTGTCACTGACATCTGACAATGTTTGCAGGACTGTCATCAAAATGTTTGATGAAGATATAGACCGACAACAGCTGTTTTCCCTGGGTGGAGTGAACAGAGTAAATAACAGGGTATTTTAGAATGCTCTGTCCCTGCACCCACGATTATGTTTGATAATGTTTGGTGAGATTATTGTACCAGAATGACGTTTTCACTTGTGTTCTGTAGGTGCTTAATTTGGTGTGCAAGGCAGTGATGGAGGACATGAAGGCAGAGTTGGGGCCAGGGAAGAGGCACATTTTCGATGTTGATTTCATGGTGAGGTTGCATAATTCCAAATGCAAATACCAATGACAGCAATTGAATTGAAAATGACTTGTTCTCTGTTAATGGATTAACAATTTCATGTCATGCAGAACATGATGGCACATGATCCAACCTGGAAAGCCCAAAAATATAAGAAGCTCTTTCTTCCTGAGTTCCTTGGCTACAACTTAGCTGAATGTGATTTCATAATTGGTCCTGCTCTTGTTGGCCAACACTGGTTTTGCGTTGCCATTCAGCCTAGCACATTGGATTTCCACGTAATAGACTCCATGAGGAACCATTTCGGAACCAAGGACAGAAAGCAGAAGAAGAAGGTTGTCATCAAAGACCCAGTGGAAATGGCTGTGGATGATTGTGTAAGAAAAAACTCATTATCTTTACCCTAGTTTTTGAACTTGGAAAATCATTAAACTTTCTATGTTGGTCCTGAATGTTGTTGCAGAGGATGAGGCTCAATATTATACTGGACTTGGTCAAGCCAGGATTGGTTGGGAAAAAGCCAATGTCTCCCATGATATTTGCAGAAGTTCCCCAGCAGAATAACCTGTCAGTTTTGTCAAATTCGATTTCTGTGGGGTAAATGCACATGTCAGATGTGTTAACTAACTGTGCTGATATTGTTGCGTCCACAGGAGGGATTGTGGGGTGCACTGCATGATGTGGCTGAGAAGATGGGAACCTGGTGTGACCCTTACCTACACAGAGGAAGAAGTTGCTGGCTTTCGTCGTGACCTGACATGGTGGTTGGTCAATCATGAACAGAATGAAAAACGTGACGAGGCATTGGCCCTTATTCGACGACCACAACCAACCAAGAGCACAAAGTCCAAGAAAAGGCGTCGGTCTTAGGTGTCTCGATGTTAGGGTCATAATTCACTTGTCCTCTGTTAGATTGCTGTATGTAATGTGCATTGTAGGCTGACCAAAAATTTACTGTGTATTGTTATGGTTAACAGAGATTGGTGTCCATAAATGTATGATAGTTGAGAACCATGATGCCAATTTATTCCCCAGTGACATGAATGAATCTGGTTTTAACCACACAAAAACAGATGATGACAACAACCCCATTGGACATGTGCTATTGGTTTTCATTTTTTGTTCAGGTCACTAAATTTTACTTCAATATATCCTGTTGGTATCCAACAGAAAATGATACGAAGTGAAGCGAATATGACAGCGATAATGATAAATTTTTTTCTACACGGCTGTCAGCTTATGCTGATAGCATCACTGCCAATGACCAGAAAATTTAAAAATGACACCATGTGAAGCGAATATGACAGCCATAATGAGAAGGATAACCTGGTCTGATTTTACAACATCAGTTCAACACAGCTGTCAGCTTATGCTGATAGCATCACTGCCAATGACCAGAACAAATTTAAAAATGACACCATGTGAAGCGAATATGACAGCGATAATGACAAGGATAACCTGGTCTGATTTTACAACATCAGTTCAACACGGCTGTCAGCTTATGCTGATAGCATCACTGCCAATGACCAGAACAAATTTAAAAATGACACCATGTGAAGCGAATATGATAGCGATAATGACAAGGATAACCTGGTCTGATTTTACAACATCAGTTCAACACGGCTGTCATCTTATGCTGATAGCATCACTGCCAATGACCAGAACAAATTTAAAAATGACACCATGTGAAGCAAATATGACAGCCATAATGACAAGGATAACCTGGTCTGATTTTACAACATCAGTTCAACACGCTGTCAGCTTATGCTGATAGCATCACTGCCAATGACCAGAACAAATTTAAAAATGACAACAAGTAATGCGCCATTAACAAAAGCTAACATCCCCATAACAGTAACTTCCTTTCATGTATTCAACAAGTGGACATTAAGATACTAGCCACACTTAATGCTCCGTTATCACTGAAATTTCTATCAGCTTACTTACAAAAAAATGTCTCCACCTAGCTCCTAACTACAACCCCAGTCCCAAAAAAGTTGACAAGGGCGGAGCATACAACTATGTACACCAAAAAATGACCCATCCCCACTGTACTCGAAACTTCATGATGGGTTAGGATTTCTGCAATTCCTCCTTGTGTGTCTAGGCTGGTGGCATCTTCCACAGTGGTATATCCGTTTGTTCTGGAACTGTGATTCATCCCTGTTTACTTTTGGCCTTCCTGGTGGTCGGGATGTCATGGGAGGTAGCAAGAAAACTTGCTCACTGACATTTTCTATTCTATAGTAGTCATTTGGGTGAGGCATGTCTGTTGTTACCACAGGAATCATACTGCGAGCATAGATCTTTTCTTGTGATGACTTTTTATAGCAATTATCAATATAATCATAAACATTGCCGTGCACAATCTTGATGGCAGCACAAGCATGGGAACAAGGGATCCCCGTCATTTGCCAAGATCTGCAACTGCATTGGTGTAGTCCAAGATCAACCCGATGGTCTCCACGTGATGTTGTCACCTTCACTCTTCCCCCACCATAATTTTCAGCATACATATGGTCAGACCCAGCCACCATATCCAGCACCTTACTCTCTATATTTGGACCAACGCAATTCTTCCATTTGGTCATACCCACATAGGAGGCATGCAGCTTTCTTGCAACTTTATCTCGGTGCTCATAGATCAATTGGGGTACAGTATGCTTTCTCTCATTCACCATCCATGCATTGAATGATTCTGCTATATTGGTTGTAATATTGTCCCATCTTTTATATGGGAACCTACTTTTAGCCCACCTATCTACATCCCCATGATGAATAAGCCAATCAAATAGCCTTGGAGAAAAGGATCTCATGTCATCCATTGCTGCCTCAAATTTCTCATCCGTCCTTGCGTATGCAATTTTATCCAATAAATATAGTGCATCCTCCTTTGATCGGCCATTTGTCCTTGTTTGCCCCTTATTCATTTTCATAACTTCTGAACTAAAATTCTCCTTGATGTGTCTATAACAAAAGGCATGCCTTTGACCCCCAAAGATTGATGCCACTCCTCCGATGATAGCATTGTGTCGATCTGATACAATCGTTACTTCCACAGAACCCAGGATTTTTTTTATCATATAGAAAAACCACGTCCAGTCATCTAGTGTTTCTCCCTTCACAATTGCAATTGCAAATGGCAGCAGCTCGTTATCTGCATCATAAGCTGAAGCTGACAACATTGTCCCCTTGTATGGTCCGCTTAAGTGAGTTCCATCAACATACATAATATGCCTCGCGCCACCCAAGAAACCCTCAATGCATGCCCCGTAGGCAATGAAAACACGCTCAAACCGGTTCCCAATAGCAGTCCATTCAGCCACTGATTTTTCATCTGTTTCCTTTATCCTTTCGCATAGCCATGGTATGAGCATGTATGATTGTTCAGGCCTGCCATATATGTCTTCCAGTGACTTCTCTCTTGCTCTATAAGCCTGTTTATATGTTAGATCAATCCCATACTCTCGTTTCAACCTCTTCCTTATCTCAGAAGTGCGCTTGTCTGCATGATCCCTCATCTCATCAATTATTATTGATGAGTTCAAACTAGCTCTTCCACTATGCATCACGTCCAAGCTATCTTGGGCAGAATGAACATGCCGGTTTATAAATGTCGTCACTCGTAGCACATCACAACTCTTCCCCACATGATTTGCACATAGCTTCCATGGACAACCCTCAACTTTACACCTTATCGACATGAATTCCTTGCTATTCCTCATATACTTGGCCACAAACTTGTTTGCAAGTGCAAACTTGTATACAGACACCCGAAATACATCTGCACTAGGAAAACGTTGGCCCACTCCTGTTAAAAGTCCCCTCCATTCCGCATGAACCATCTCACTACCATCCGTATCTTCAGCTCCGATAGATTTATCCACATTAGGGGGCCCACTTATTTCATCATTGTCACATTCACGAGCATTTTCTTCACTGAGCCAGCCATAATCACAACACAAACTAATGGGAGACGCATCCAGTTCCGTTTGCTGTGACATGCCCATGAATCTCTCTGTTCTGCATTCATAATGACAAGACTCGTTAACACAAATGACAAGAAGAAATTCATAAATGACAACAAATAGTTAGGACAAACTTCCACTTACATTTCTACATTGTCCCTTGGTTGGGGACCCACTTGTCTTTTTTCGGCGACATACACATGACCGCTGTTCCCATTGTATTGAAAGAGGTTATACATTTCAGCATTGTCATGAAGGTCAATCAATGTCTTCTCATCAAAGGCCACTGTGTACTTAATGTCATAATTTCTTCCATCGCCACCAATCCACTCAGATATCATTAGCCTCAATTCATCAAGTGTCAGCCCATCCTTAATGCTTCTTAACCTCACGCCACCTCCATTATATCTCACTTCACCTTCACCATTTGTCACAAATTTCCCCCCCACATGAAAATAACAGAACAGCTCCTTCCCACAAGATGACCCAGCTTCGAAATTCATTTATCTTCATTACCTGCACTGATAACATAACAGAAGTCGAATGATTATATGACTTAATACCATCATCATCAACTTACACGACCAACTTAGGGTTTGACACATTCATGCTTATAATTTGCAACAAAACAATCATTTCTTTCCTGTCCACACTAATGCTTCATTTTCTCAGAATCAATCCACTCCATTATTCGAATCTCCCTCCAACATTGTCCATTTATCTGACACTAATCACTCTAACTCACTTGTGACGCCATCAAACCCCTCTCCCTCAGTTTTTTCCTTCCCTCGTGCATTCACCCTCTGATCACCGTCCTTCCCCCCACACTTTCTATATACCCACGCCGTCTCCATGCTTCGCCACCCTCTCCACCTCAAAACCATCCCCACATCGACGACATTGCCATCCAACGGGAAGAGAAAAATCAACCGGCGCATAAAGGAGAGGGACAAAAGACACAGGCGAACAATATAGTCACTGGATACTAACCTCGCTTCCGTCGTTCAGTTGTTGCTTCGCGCGTTCATGCTCCCACGTTCGTGGTCCCTCCCAACTTTTTCCTCTAGCTCCCGCCACAACTTGCACACTTCCACCGGTCACTTTTTCGGTTTGCATATGAGGGGCTGTTTCGTAATTGTGCAACATTTGCATAATCCCAAATCAGGCAACACTTCCCTATCTGGTAATACATTTGCTTAGCTTCCCATTCTGGCATTTTATTATTTCAGCCTTCTTTATCTGTCATTTTCCCTAGATTCTTTATTTTAATCAAACTTTAGAGCATCCTCATATAATTTTTTTAAGATTGAATTATAATTTTTTAAATTGATAAAATCTAAAAAATAAATAAATACTAGTCAAAGGATTAAAATGTAAATATTTATTTTATTGACTTTATTTAATAATTCTGTAAAGTTAAAACACTTCGGAATAAGTAA